AAAAAAAAAGTCAAGGTGCAGTGGCTCACACCTATAATCCCACCACTTTGGGAGGCCGAGGTGAGCGGACTGCCTGAGGTGAGAAGCTCCAGACAAGCCTGGCTAACATGGAGAAACCCTGTGTCTGCTAAAAATACAAAAACTAGCTGGATGTGGTGGTGTGTGCCTGTAATCCCAGCTACTCAGGACACTGAGGTAGGAGACGTGCTTGAACCTGGGAAGGGGAAGCTACAGTGAGCCAAGATTGCCCCACTGCATTCAAGCCTGGGTGACACGGAGAGACTCCATCTAAAAAAAAAAAAAAAAGTCAAGAAATAGACATGCAGCAGGAAGATGGGGTGGAAGTAATAGAGGCGGGAGAGAGCGAGCGAGCGAGAGAGCGAGCGAGTCAGGGTGGTGCGTGGCTTATGCCTATAATCCCAGCACTCTGGGAGGCCAAGGTGGATGGATCACTTGAGGCCAGGAATTCAAGACTAGCCTGGCCAACAACACATGGTGAAGGCCGAAAAAAGGAAAGAAATGGATGCACATCTATCGACGTATTAGAGAGGTGAGATATTTCAGGTAAACGGGGAAAGAACAGAAGATGCTGGAATAATTGGACTTTAAATAGAAAAGAATGTATCTAGCTGGATGTGGTAGCTGACGCCTATAATCCCAGCACTTTGGAGGCCAAGGTGGGCGGATTGGAAAAAACGGAATTTGATATTGAATGTGTCCAGAATGGCTACACATAGCTACGTGCCCGTATCACTAAGAGGAGTACAGAGTGACACAAACACTTTCAAGAGTGTTTCGGCAAAAACCGTTGACACCACAGAACTGAGTCTCCAGTAGTCTGCAAAGCTGTATCATAATTGAGTAAGTCTGTTCAACATAACAAAATGGCTGAAGCCATTCTGTTCTCTGAAAGACCAAGGGTGAACAGGTGGGGACGGTGTTCCCATGGTTAACTTGGCTGATGGCTGAGGGGCATCTCCTGGTTCAGACCATCCTAACCAGGCAGCCTGCTGTTTGCTAATGGAGCTCCCATGCAATTGCATGTAAGTCAAGAGTACACCCAGACAGGACTAATGCTGACAACCCAAAGGACACATTTCTATTTTTTTTTTTTTTGAGATGGAGTTTCGCTCTTGTTACTCAGGCTGGAGTGCAATGGTGCGATCTTGGCTTACCGCAATCTCTGCCTCCTGGGTTCAAGCAATTCTCCTGCCTCAGCCTCCCAAGTAGCTGGAACTACAGGCACACGCCACCAAGTCCAGCTAATTTTTTGCATTTTTAGTAAAGATGGGATTTCACCATGTTGACCAGGATGGTCTCGATCTCTTGACCTCGTGATCCACCCACCTCAGCCTCCCAAAGTGCTGGGATAATAGGCGTGAGTCACTGCGCCCGGCACCCAAAGAACACGTTTCTATCTGCAATTGTGATTCTAGGATTACAAGCATCATGAGCAGTGGCCAACGCCTGTAATCCTAACACTTTGGGAGGCTGAGGTAGGAGGATTGCTTGAGCACAGGAGTTCAAGACCAACCTGGGCAACATGGCAAAACCTTCTCTACAAATAACACAAAAATTAGGCAGTTGTGGTGGCATACATCTGTAGTCCAAGCTGCTCTGGAGGCTACAGGAGCCTCTAGAGGTGGGAGGATCACCTGAGCCCTCCCATTGAGTCAAACTGGCGTCACTGCACTCCAGCCTGGGTGAGACCCTGTCTCAAAAAGAAAAATAAGGCCAGGTGCAGTGGCTCACGCTTGTAATCCCAGCACTTTGGGAGGCCGAGGCAGGCGGATCATGAGGTCAAGAGATTGAGACCATGCTGGCCAACATGGTGAAACCTCATCTTTACTAAAAATACAAAAATTAGCTGGGCATGGTGGCGTGCGCCTGTAGTCCCAGCTACTCGGGAGGCTGAGGCAGAAGAATCGTTTGAACCTGGGAGGTGGAGGTTGCAGTGAGCCAAGGTCACAGCATTGCACTCCAGCCTGGCGATAGGGCAAGACTCTGTCTCAAAAAACAAACAAAACAAAAAAATTTAAAAAAAAGAAAAGAAAAAATTGTGATCTACATGAGGTCAAAAGATTGAGACCAGCCTGGCCAACATAGTGAAACCCCATCTCTACTAAAAATACAAAAATTAGCTGGGCGTGGAGGCCGTGCCTTGTAGTCCCAGCTACTTGGGAGGCTAAGGCAGGAGAATTGCCTGAATCCGGAGGCGAAGGTTACAGTGAGCCGAGATTGAGCCATTGCACTCCAGCCTGGTGATACAGTAAGACTATGT